CAATAGGTCTTCGTTTCGTCATGAAAGATTAAGCTAAACTTGGAGTGAATGAGCAAATCCAGTGTTTATTTAACTCAACTTGCACTTTTGTGTCGTACCTGCAACTTTATGACTCATGGATTTTAACCAACTGTATCTATTTATACGCTATTTATACGAACGTAATATGACAAGATATACGACGATCATATCCAACTACACGCAGAACAACTTTAATTACTTTTACAATATGTTCACTTGTTCAGACTACAATATTATGATGAATTAAGCGAGTCCTAAATGTCGTGAGTAATGACTACGTGCAAATAATATGAATAGAGCTTAATAGTTCTTGGATTAAATGCATGTACGACGGTTTCGTACGCTGCTGTGGGAATATTGTTTATATTAATACAATTCTTAAATTTCTAATTAATACATTTGTCGTTATTCTGCATTGACGATAAGTTACGGTTATCATTAAGAAATGACAATGCGGCTTCAGAAAATACAATTGAATGTAGGGTGGGTCTGCACGCAGACCATAAACTATACTTTATCGCCGGATTTTTATATCTTTTTTATTTTACTGCTCTGCGAGGTGAATGGACAGTTCATCGGATCAGTTATTTCGGATTTATTTTTTTATGTGTGAAACGACACGCTAGAAAATCTAACAATAAGAAATCGTTAATTACCTTTAATGGGCGCTAATCGTTTAATGAATTTCCCCACGATCCAACTGGGAGTAATCGGAAATTGTATCACAACATAAAGTGCAGCCACTTAGTTTTCCATTTCAACAAACTTGAACATCATCAAAGCATTCTAAAGCTGAGCTTGTAGTAAAGGTAACATAAAATTACATTCCCTTCTAAATTTTTTTCAGTTCACGAAGAAGTTCATCGACGAATAAATTCTTCCCGTAACATTATCTACCGCTGCACTTTCAGTCGTTAAAAAAATGTTTAAAGTTATTTCCACCGAACTTCCCCGATTTTTGTCACAACTCAATGCGTACTATTAGACACAGTGTAATCTCGTGAGGCAGTTTGTTTAGAAAATTTCAAGTATTGAATAAGTAGTACGATATTTCGTCAAAAAAAAAAACAATGTAAAGATCTTTGGTAAAATAAAAAAAAATACCATTTCTAATAAATGTACATCAGCTAGATAAACTACGTACGGACTCCGGGAAGTAGGAAACCTGTCTTTTCGTACTCTACCGACTGTGAAGCACAAAAAAAAACAAATTAAGACATTCATCAAAATAACACTATTACAATACTTGGCTTGACTATCGCTCGGGAAGTAATAACAAAACGTGGAATTGTTGGAGGTGCAAATTATACACTACATCAGAGTAACGGCTTCCTGGGGGCTGAAAGGCCCTTTATGGGTGCCGTGTTTTGGACGTGGCCGGCCGTTCCACCCTCTTTGCTGTAAATTTTCCGTATAATGATGGTGCTGACGGCACTGGAATGCGCTGTAATATTGCACACCATTATCCAGATATAGGTATATGGACCAACACCGGGCGTAATCGTAGGACTCTGGCAGTTGTCCACACAGCGTGTATTGTGCCGCCTCTTCCAATATTGATGGAGGAACGTAGTAGTACGGTAAACCGTCTTGCGTTTTATTAGATATCGATGATTTTCTTATGGGTGATCCCAAATCAAGCGGTCACTTTTTATTTTCGAACAGATGATTTGACATTTTATGATTACCATAAAGATTATTAAACGATTCTCCGTGCTGGTTGAAGTAAATGCCTTTTTACCTTTTATTAATAATTCACTCTATATGTTAGTAATAATGCGTTATCAAAATTTAACCACGAGTTTTAATTCGTTAAAGATTATGTTGTAGGCATTTTAGAAATCTCGTTAAAAAACCAACATTGATGTAACACAATATTAATAAAATTTATTTATTCATCCCTTATAGGAAGTAAATGACATCAGTTCAGAAAATATTACATAAATATTTATTGAAAAATGCGCCTTGAGATGTATTGCTTGCGGCTTTTTTAAATTGCGTACCAAGGATGTTTCAAAAATATGCATGCATAAATCGCTTTTTTTATCGATTATCTCAGAAACAGGTATTTACTGTTTTTTTTTTTTTTAATTTCTGGTGAAAAGTTGAGACCAGAGGAAGCAGGACTGAGGGTTATGATTATTTAAGAAAAAAACACTAAAATACAGCAGTCGTTAAACGTAAATTTCCATAGTGTGTGTTTTGTGTACGCGAAAATTTTGTTATGTAAAGTAATGTAAATTTCGTTTTGCTGCTCAGACCACGCTATGATTTATTTTTCACGGAAACCACATGTATTCTAAGTGACAGTGACAGTATTGTCATTAAAATAATGCTTGTGGTTGGTTAGTTTTAGCTTTTTAGTTTTTTTTTAACTTTCCAGACAAGCTGTAGAAGTATTCTAATAGGGTCCATTTGATGAATGGCGAGTTTCATGTTTTTCTGTTTTATTGCTTGTAATGTCGGTTTCCCATGTCTGTCTGTCTGTCCGTTGGCGATTTTATTAGACACTTAATCCCCAAAATTTGTTATAAAAATGGTACATGGAAATTAAAATACTTGTTAACAAACAATGCTACTGAGTCAATGCCATATTACTAGAAATAACTAAACTAAATAACTAAAATAACTGTAACGTTGAACTCGTATGTTTTTTAACTGAAGTATGCATGTGATAAAGTAGTTTAGTAAATGTCCAAACTCAAAACTGAAGAAAGAAAATCTTGTTGTTTTTATAGAAGACATATTGACAACATCAGGTCCTTCCATGTTAGTGATGTAATTTCATTACTGGAAGTTTCTAATGTGTTGTGCACAGCTCTGTGGATAAAAGTATTATTAAAAGAATCCAAATTCTCCATATCAGAGTTAATTTGGGAGTTTTCATAAGAAATACGTACGTACTTACAAAAGTAATCAGTATTACAGACCACGACTGCAACGTATAAAAGTGTTGAGAATAAACTCGAATCATTATTATGGTAAATTTTTGTTTTTGCAGGTTTTGCATTTTAAGTTCAGTTTTATACACGGGTTGCCTTTCATAGAAAAATCCATTCGATTGCAGCAGATTTATGACACCAATAACATGTGTCTTTAAGAAAATAATATCCTGAACGTTTCAAAAAATATATATGTGCTACTGTGGTATTTAATAAATTAAGAATGAATTTGTTGGAAGCCCTGGCGGTGGCAAAATGGAAGGAATAAAAATTCTATGCGAGATAAGTTCATCACGCCACATCCAGCCGCCTCCGGATGCCGTTAGGCAACTGTTTAAGTACAAAATTAAATTCCTTCAACTTGTAATAACTTAATATCAGGTGGCACGTAGTCATAGTTTAGCAATAACATTGTTAACGGTTAATATTACCTGCGCATTCCTTACATATCGGGCGAATCCTGTGAAAATAAACAATAAACCGTAGGATGAAGGGTGCGGGCTTTGTTTCTGTTCTCCCTCCTGGTGATAACAACCGAGAGATGTTCCAACAAATTCCAGGTTTTAACAAAGATCAGCGGATAGGTTCCACGGCAAATGTGTTTTCTATCCTCACTCGAAAGAATTGTTTGTTGCTAATACTGAGCCCGGATCAGCGCTGCTAATTCATCAGCGTGTTTTAAAATACAGTGGAGTGATTCATTCGATATTATATTTTTGGATTCAATAATTTGGATCCGGTATCTGTTGTTTTTAGAATATTAAATTTGCTCTTTTTAATGCTTTTAGCTACTTGCTTTGTCTAGCGAGCTGAAAGTCAATAATATCTATAAAAGGCAACCTGTTGATCTAAACCCGTGTTTCCTATAAAATGTTGATGGTTACAGTGCGGTGGTGGAATGACGATTATCAAGTATTTGATTTAGCTCTATGGCATAAATGAAAAAACAGAAAAAAGACTCGCAAAAATATCAATAATTACAGAATACTTAACATTTTTTAGTGAAATAAAAAAAGGAAGAATAATATACAAATATTAAGCATTAAGTGTGGAATAACCAACTAAAAGGAAAGAAGTAACAAGCAAATTATTTAATAGTTGATGCAATAAACCTGAAATTGGTGGTGTCCAATTAACAAGAGAAGAAACAAAATAAATAAAAGCAGTGATATTAATAAACGAAAAAAGACAAGTATTGAAGAGGTAAAAAATGATTACCAAAAATGAGAAAAAAAATTTAAAAACTGTTAACGTCGATGTTTCATGTTTTCTTTAAATATATGTATAGATTAACAGTGTATCTCAGGTGAATAATATAATTTGCAAACGAGTCATCTTTGGAATGAATTTAGCATGTAGGTGATTAAACCCCACTAATAAATGTGTTAAAGGGCAGAAATATACACAGTAAACATTTTTTGACGTCTTTGCCCGTAGATATATAATCAGCGTGATTTCATTCATTACACTTAAAGCCATATATCAACATAAGTGATTGTGGAGGTTTGTATTTACCCTCGAATTAAATTTATTGCGATTGTGTTTATTTATATTTTCGGGTGTTGGTGCTTCTGAAATGTCGAACCTAGTGCCAGTCTTTTTATATGTTAAATTTATTTTCGACTGGAAATTTGCAGCATAGAACCTCTTTCTGGTATTAGTTGACATTGCTGAATTTCAAGCTTTAACCTTAAAACATTTTATGGTAATTTATGTCACAACTTTAATCGCATAATGTAGATCAATAAATAATGACTTTTTAATTACTGCATTATACATAAAAACTTAATCGAGAAACTAGAGTTGTTTATTCTTTTTAGATAACAACAGCGAGAAAACTTTTTAGCGTGTGCTCGATAAAGTTTGAATTTTACAGAGTAAAAATATGGTTTACGGCTCCTTGTCTTTTTTGCATATCTGTAGATTACGACATAAACTGGGGATACGGGCTATTCTATATTTATTTACTAATATGTTACTAATTAGTAGGTTAAGTACCGTTATTACAACAGTACTAAGTATTATTATTTTTTTCAGGCAACGTGGTTTCAGCCGGCACCATTTCTTCGCCGTGGACTCCTGTCACCGGCCCGCCTGCCGACTCCAATGGCGCGGGTCCGGATACGAAGAATTTGGATGTTGGAGATGTCAGCGATGTAAGTCATTTTACACTAAATAAACCATTTCCTTAAGGCTTGAGATATGCACGTAGTGTCATTCTGCAAAGGCAAAAATATAATAGTACACATGTTATGAAAGACTTCCGCTTGTGTCCAGGATGAAAAGGATATGGCGGCGGCAGATGCGGAAGGAGTTTGGAGTCCCGACATTGAACAGAGTTTTCAGGAAGCATTAGCCATATATCCTCCCTGCGGACGACGGAAAATTATATTATCAGATGAGGGAAAAATGTATGGTAAGTGCTTTTTGTTGTTGAAAAACTTGCTTTATTGGCGTAAATTGTTTTAAATTGTGCTGTGAACTCGAGCTGGAGTAATTGCGAAGCTACACGAAATGAACGAGATTTTGTGGATATTAACGGTTGAAGGAGAGTAGTCTTGAGGTTCTGAAGTGAAGTGAATGCTATCTGATGGTCGGTTAATGGGGTCACCAAAATCTCACACTTTGGTTGACAAAAAATGATGTCATTTGAACTGATACTGGTTAGATATCTCTCTAAAACAAATGATGCCCGCTATAGATAATCAGTGAAAATAATCGTAACCTAAAAACTAGCTACGAATTTAGGAAGAACACGTTGTTTGATAATTCTGACAAATAAATCAGTGGCATTTTTGTACAAAGTTTGTGCTTAGATGAATATAAGTATTGTGTTAAAACTGTATTAAAAAAAAATTGCTAGAACTTGGTTGTCAATATTTAGAGTAATTCTTCATACTGAAAAATGTTTAAATTATTTTATGTATATTGCCAAATTGTATATGTATTTTAGGAATATCGTATAGATGGTAAAACGCTAACTAAAATTCGTGAAATCACTTCAAAGTGGCACATAGTAAATGTGATTTAAATTTTATAAAATAACATACCCCTACATTTTTATTTTCTGGGCGCAAGCTTAGAAAGTATAGTAATCGAGTCCATCGGACGAAAGACCACTTTTTAAGTTTTCTCGACGTTTCATGACCTCTATAGTACAAAAAGTAGTCTTCCGTTTCCGTCTGTCTGTCTGTCGTCTGTGTCGATTTTTATTCGATATGTAATCTCCGAAACTATTGGTGCGATTGTTGTCAAATTTTGTATGTATATTAGGAATGTCATGTGGATCCTAAAACGCCAACCAAAATTTTTCTAATCCTCCCTACCATCGATGTGATGACATCCCCTCAAAATTTTTCGTAGTAAGTAGAATTTAAATTTTATAAAATAACATACTTTTGTATTTGTTGTTTTTGAATCCGTCTTAAGATTTTCCCTGAAGCATTTTTAGCAAAAAAAATCGAAAGTGGACAGTAACCGTTTATACGAGTATATGCGAAGTTCGTACAAGCTTGGGATACAGCGTATTCCCTTTGGATGCGAATATCGTGCTCGAGTTTTCTTTTCGCAGTTACGGACTGTTATTTCTATTATATGACTTTATTGATCAAATTTCAAGTACGGGACACCCCAGTGTTTTATTATTAGTAGTACACGACACGTGTCGGAATTAACATACTTTTGCTCAAGTAATGTTGATCGAAGCACTTTCAAATGGAGAAACTTACTAATACAAGGTTACTTTCATTCATATTTTTGGTACAATTAATTGTTAATTCGTTTCCTATCATGGGTTGACGACGGACCACTTTAGACCAACCAACTATAAACAAGTGTGTTTTCGTAACGTAATACGTTGAAATCAGTGGCGGGCATGGGTGATTAAAGTTTGATACATTAATGTCTTCAGAAAAACAAGCTCCACAAGAGACTAAAAAAATATTTATATAAGGCCCAATTCTGAATCAAACCCGTTAAAATTTAAAGGTTGTTAAAAAATAAACAGCCAATCAGATTTACGAATTTAACTCGTTACTATGGAAATTTGCAATTTAACACCCTTTAAATTTAACAACTTTGATTCAGAATTTCCCCTATAGTGTCATTAAAAGAAAAGTGGCATGTCGCAGACATACAAACAAAAATTATAGGATGTCAAAACATTTATACGATCTCATATAGCTTCTTACACAGTTACTGGTATTATGTATGAACTTATTTATATTTGTTTTAATGTATACAGTAGTGTTCCGGAGCGAGGGAACTTTTTTCGATTTCCCGCTATTAAACACTAAACCGAGTGCTGTGAAAACTTGCAAACGTTTTAAGGTTATAGAAATCGTTAATCAAAATAATTGTATATATAATATAAATTTCGAAAAAAGCTTTAGACCAATTGTCTTAGAACGGTTTACACAAGATGTCTCAAGAAGCAAATGTAGCATCCGATCTATTTGAATGAATATTATTTATTTCAAAATCATTTCATTTATTTTTACTGAAATTCCAAATGAATACTTGTCAGAATTATCCTCACCACAAAATTCATACAGTCATCCCGAGTAGTTGTTAAAATCTTTGCACTGAAAAAATACCGTGACGTTCATGCTGTATATTGGTTGTGTTTAAGTGTTCCGGAGCGAGGGAACTTTTTTTGATTTCACGGCAGTAAACTCTTAAACACAGTACAAAATCAAATTGTAAATCAAACTCTTCTTGTGGCTAAATATGTTTTGCATCGTAGTTTATCAGGTCTAAACAAAAGCTTATACATGCACCACTACATATTGCATAATGCCAAATCAGCTAATCCATCAAAATGATCTCCCTTCGTCCATACAACATGCATAATTAATATACCGATTTAATCAATCCGCCATCCGCGATATGAAATTTATCATCCTGCCGAATTAAACAAAATCCCGGATCCTAATCTCCGATCAAGTTTAATTTGAAATAGGTAGACTTTGTCATGTCCAGCGGTTTTTCTCCTCTACCGCCTCCCTACATCCCGCATTTGAATGCGAAAAAACCGAATACATGTCGCCGTTATTGGTTTTCGGTTGACCGGTGGCAGAGCCCCGGCTCCGGGTAATGTGTGAATTCAGCGTATTATTACTGTGTTTGCCGATTTCGCTCACGTCAAGTGTAGCGCCTCGACGCGTCGCCGTTATTAGCGAAGGCTGCGGGCATGAGACGTGCGGAATCGTCGACGATCCGGAGCAATTCCGGGTGAGGTGGCCCGAAACGCGTGGAAGTGTCCAGTTGTCACCGGAATCAGCTTCCGCCCGCCCGCCCTTCCGCCCCCAGACACTTTCCAGGACGTTTGCCGGACTCGACGGACACTGGACAACACCACGGTCGATATCTTCACAGCCTGCGCCTTGCATCTACGATTGTGTGTTATTGCTGCAGGACTTGTGATGGGTCTTTGTTCGGACATGAGTGTCAAGAGGGCGCAACCTAGTTTTGAAGTCGGCTGAGAGAAGGCAAAAATCGTGTGCAACGGTCTGGACATGCGAATATGGATTTGCTGGGTTTGTTGTCGTTGATGTGATTACTTCTATGGCAACAAAAGTATTTGCTTTTCATTTAGCAAATTTCCATGTAGGGTGATCGTGGAAGGCTTCTAATCATACTGGGTAATTAGATGGTTTAATGCAGGGTCGTTGCGAAAATTTTTGTTGGCTTAACTGTTCAAGAAAAACTAAAAATGTAGCATCTTGTCCATCTTCGAGTTGTCCCCACCACATTTTTTATGAGATTACTCCCGAAGGTGTTTTATGACGTCATAAAGAAATAAATATTTCCCAAATAAAAAAAAAGAAAAGTACACTGTAGTTTCCACATTGTACATTAACTAAATACATACAGGTGATTAATAAAAAAATTCCTTTCATTACTATTTTACTTCTACTGAATTTGGAAGTACCTGTATGTTGTTTATAGTCCTTCCCACAAGAAATGTATTGAACATTTGGTTTAAAAATAAATTTTAAACTGAAATTGTCCATACAGTTTTATCACTTTGTTGAAGCACCCTCAATGGTTTCGGAACATTTGCATTCTCCATTTGACAGCATTTTGTGGCCAGTTTTAAACAATAAGATGTCAGGTTTTGCGAATTTTATTTTTTATGATAACCCCTATAATTTAAAATAAGATAGGTGGAATGAAAAGCGTATTTCAGCTTTTTTCGAGATTCCACCCCTAAGAAGATGAAAGAAGGTGACAAAGTTTATATGAGGAAAATACTTTTTTGGCGATTTTTACTTGAAATTTGGTAATAATGCCAGATAATAAAATAAATAAAATAATAAAATCCACATAGACGACAGACAGAGGAAAACGGGAAACCACTAGTGTGGTCATGAAACGCCAAAAAAACACAAAAGTAGTAATTCACACGATGAATCCTGTTACAATACTTCCTTAATTTACGCTGGGGGAGTAAAAATTATGATTATTTTCTTGAACAGGTCCTATTTTTGTTTTTTGTGCGGCTTTTGCGGCCGCAAGTGGCTGAAATGTGCTAAGTTATATTTTATCCACTAAAAGTTTTAACAAGAGTTTAAACTTCAAGAAAAGTACTTAACTATAAATTGATATCTTAATGGATGAATTTCGAAGAAAATTATTTAGTAGCTATTTAGTTACAAACTTACAAGGTCTAACCTTGATGGCGTTAGTACAGGACAGCTTCCAAACTAAACTTAATAAAGTTTGTTGAACGCAAAAGAGATAAAATTGTAATGTCTTTGTAGGAAACTGCAAAACTAACAGCAAAAATGCTGCGAAATTTTTAAATTTGATAACTTCATAATTCGTTTTCGGGTTAATACTAATAAATACATAATTGTTTACCTAAAATTTGATAACATTTTTTTGTGGCATACACACATCATCGATAATTTGTACGGAAATCCCGCTATTATAAAAATTGATAACTCAAAAATAAGTTGTTGAAGCTAACAAAATGTAAGAATAGAACTGCATGTTTTTGTATTACAATTTATAATATTGTAACTTTATCGGGGATTAAAATCGGCGTGGGTTAAACTCAACAATTTATTGCTTAGTAACTCAAATTCACACGATTAATTACACAAAGATTATGTAGAAAATAATTCCGGCGCAACTTGTCTGGATTTCCTTGACACTCGCTGGACTTGACTCGTTGACTGAATAATCGTTCCCGACGGTGGCCTCTATTTAAATCAATCAATCTCTCGATGGATCGCGAACGTCGCTTCTAGGTTTTTCTGGACCCCGCTATCGAGACTTCCGATAACCGGCTCCAGACTTGTCGTTATGCGAACGTCGCCCGGCTGCGTCATACTAGAAAACCCATAGGCGTTGTACCTGGGCGGCGTATGGGGTTATTTCGTAACAATATATTGTCAAAAACATTCAATA